GATGTGCATGATGCTTCCTCTTGGATAATCAGTTCTGGCAGTCATACAGGGTTTCCTAATGCTGTTTCCTGTATGCGAAGTGACAACAATGGGGATCAGCGAATAACAACTGTATTACCTCCTAAATCCCAGTCGCATGCAAAGCCGCTACCTCAAGCCTCGAACTGTCATGTCCCGCCTAAGGTCTGCTCTGGCCATTATCCAAGCTCATCGAGAATATCGATGAATCCGGTCAAATTGATCGAATGTAAAATGACGGTTGACCTAGATCTATCGCAAGCATCATTGGACGACTCTGTATCGTCATTTTGTTTGGATAGACGTACATCCATCGGTCATAAAGTTATGGAAGATGTGCCGCCATCTTTGCACCTTACACACGGTGTAATTGGGTATCATGACTTTCCGATTGCATCAACGAACCACGTGGATTATGCTGATGTTGGTGTACGGATTGACACCAGTGTGCCTCTACCGCGTATAGTGAAGCCTTGTATATCGAGCGCATTTAAGCGGATTTTACCCATAGATGGTAATAACAGCAATCCACTGACTCCTATCAATGCGTTACGTAATCAACAGCCCATTAGCGACATGATGCAGAGGACACAACCTAACTCTCCAGCTCCTACAGGCTACTGCAGAAATCATGGACCCTTTCCCTCGAACCATTTTCTAGAGGGCCATACTCAATCTCAACCCCATCCGCTGTGGCCACCTCCAAACCATTTTCCACCGTTGGCAATACATGCACTTTTGCAACAATTTCTAACCTGGGTCCAGGCACACGGCTTGAAACCCCAGTGTTTATAACAGTACCTAAATAATCTTCCTCATATCTCACATCTATCTTAGTATTTTTGATAAACATTCGTTCTCTTCACTCCAAGATCCACACACTACGCTCGTTCGTTTTGGTGAATAATCCTGATTATAATCTTTATAACTGAATCTTGGTGCCATGATGTCATGTCTGACGCTCAGTTAACTATTTTCGGATATAAGAAGTTTATGAGAAATCGGCCTGGTCGTCGAGGTGGTAGCTGTGTAATTTATCTGAAAAGATCACTCGCAGCAACAACATTCGATAATCCAGTGTTAAACAATGTTCAGGAATCACTCTGGCTTATGATATCTGTTAATCAGCAGCAGCAGCAGCAGCTTGTGGCATGTACATACAGCGCATCAAACTGCAGTCAAGAAGACCTAGAACATTTGACGCTTGCATGTGAATGCACCGCTAGCCTACCACTTATACATAAGATTATTGGAGGTGATTTCAATCTGCCTTCGAGTTCATGGCCCATAGGAACCGCTCCTTTAAAATACCAAAATCTTATCTCCTGTATCCAAATGAATGATTGGCAGCAACACGTCTCCCAACCGGCCAGAGCTGAAAGTACTCTGGATCTCATTTTTTCATTGGGCATACCTGCAATCAGTGTTAACGTCCTTGATGAATTTCCGGGAAGCGATCATTGCGTGATCAAATGCCGCCCAAGACTACGAATGGCCTATGTTCAGAACACAATGCATCATCGTCTGTTCAGTTCTGTCAACTGGGACTCTTTCAAGGATCTGGTTCGTTCGATGAATTGGGATAAATTCTTTCTCTCTTCATGTCCTCAACATGCGACGGACCTAGTTTATAGTATACTTAGCTTCTGCATTGATTCAGCAGTGCCAGTTAAATGTGCTTACCAAACTAAACATAAATCCGATCGAAAGGCGTTGAAGGCAGCACGAAAGCTTCATAAGATTCGGCAGAAATTCAGGTTAACTGCTGACTTTGCGCTATTATTACAGCAGTCGAAGCTCCTCGAAGAACAGAGGTATCAAACAGACAAAACTCTCATTCTGGAAGAGTACAAAGCTCTGAACGGCCCTAGCAAAACAGCTGAGCTAGCCAAACTATTCCGTGCCTGGGGGTTCGTGTTGCAGCGACAGTTTCAACTTTATCACCACACTTGATGGAACATACTACGATGCGCCACGTGATATATGGTAAGCTTCTAGTGCTTATTTTGCCGGATCAATGCTCAATGAATCATCAGACACACCAACACTTATCATTCCACACAACAATGAAGGTCTATGCACAGTGGAATTCAATATGGCGAAAGTCGCTGGTCAAGTCTCTCGCTTATACTCCTCAACGTGCGCCGGCCCTGATGGGATACCCTCTTGTTTAATAAAATGCAATGGTAGTAACTTGCTTCTGCTTTTGCTCAACCTCTTTACACTCTCTTTTAACAACGGAGTATACCCTACTCAATAGAATACTTCTGTCGTTACCCCGCGACATGAAAATGGCGCTGCCCACGAGGTTAAAAACTTTCGTCCCATAAATCACACAACCATCGTATCTAGAATAATGGAAAGGATAGTGAAAAATGAACTATTTATATGCTTGAACCACGCTAACATCATCAGCAATTCGCAACACGGCTTCATGCAAAGTCGCTCCTGCGCAATGTGCTAGACTGACTTTTTAAACCACACAAAAACTGCCATTGACAACGGAAACAGTGTCGTAATCCTGTTCCTGGATGTGCAAAAAGCCTTTGATAGAGTGCCTCACGGAAGTTTACTAAACAAACTGAAGGCTATAGGCATTGGAGAACCGATGTTCTCTTGGCTGTCTTCATATCTAATTGGTAGACAGCAGGTGGTGCGCATAGGCGACCATTTCTCTAAACCGAAAGCAATCACTAGTGGAGTGATTCAAAGGGAGTGTTCTTGGTCCGCTTCCTTTTCTAATTTATATTAAAGATATATTCCAGAGCCTAAGAAATGGTGTTGCATTTATCTTTGCTGATGACATTAAAGTTGTTTACTCACAAGCACGTGCAAATACTCAGGAAGCCGTACGTCTCATTCAGGATGACCAATCCGCCCTTGACTCCTGGTGTCAACTGTGGCAGATGTCATTTGCCGTGGACAAGTGTAATATCTTGTCGCACAAATGCCAAGTACCGCCAGACACTTTATTACTACAAGACGCATATATCTCGCAATGCAGGGCAGTTCGCGACTTGGGCGTGCGGTATTCAGTCACGTTTAACTTTTCTGAACACTGACTTTCAAGTTTCGAAAGCCATGAAGACCATCGGTTATATCTGCCACTATTTTTACCTCACGGAATTGCGCATATCGCTTTACAAAACATATGTATTGCCGTGTATGGAATATTGTTCAATGGTACAGTCTAATCTGCGGAAATCTGACCAGCACGCTCTTGAGAAAGTCCAGAGATGCTTCACGAAAATGCTATGTGGATATTCCTCAAAGTAGACATACAGAGAGCGATGTGATAAACTTGGATTTGACCAGTTGGGCTTCGGATAATGAAGCTGAACCTATCTTTTTTTACAGAATCAGAAATTGTCAAATTCGCAGCCGTGAATACGGTGTTCACATATCTTTAAGCAGCAGATATCCAGTAAGTAACAAAGTGGTAAAGGTCATGATTCCAAAATTTACTGCGAGAATCAGATGGTGGTCTGATTGTTGGCTGAGCTCGGCAGGTCGGCTGTCGAGCTCAGGGAACAATCAAACCGTCAAATGAACAATCTGAGCTACCAACATTTGCTTCCATATTGCACGAGAATCAGAGTACGTTTCTTTCTAACCCAATACTCGAAGATTTGGAACAAACTTCCAAGTGATATCAGAACCTACTATACACTGGGTAATCTTAAGCTTGCGATTAGTAAGCATTTAACCGTTCAAAACGTCATTGAGATTTTCGGAACATCACAGTCCCTAGACAACGCATTCGAAAACGGTATCCATGGTGCCTGAATAAATTTCTGAAACACATACACATAAGATTTCGGACAACAGCCCCTTTCATTGCACTTTTTTCTCGGCCCAAATATCTGTCATGTGATTGTGAAGAATCCTGATTCAATGGCAGGAAAAAATAGCAGAACGGTTCTGATTACTCTGTGTTACCTAATTTGCAATTGCGCTCATGTTTATCTCTTCAAATGTATTAATGAAATAGCATGCACACTTGTACCATTATTTGATCTGTTCCTTCTAGGGAACAGCTTCTCGCATCGTCGAGGAATATACAATTTATTTAATCTGACACTACGGCTACGCATACGTGAATGGCACTAATCGCAGTAGTAAATTGTGGTAACTACATTCACGACCACATGGCATACTTGAGTATCATGTTTCTGAATTCACGCCCAAATGTTAGTAATACACGTAAATTAGCATGGAGAACGTATACTTGTTTGCGTAGCTTGTTAACTGATTGGAACGTTGTACATGTGTGTGCCGTTTCTAAACTTTTTACACTACTGCCTAGTTCAAAGTAGGCAAAAAACAATCAGCAATCTATGGCAATTACTGCACGTCAACAGTCGGCCGGTGGCCGAGTGGTCTGCACGTTTGGTTTGCAACCATAAAGTCACCGGTTCGAATCCGCGTAGGGGTGGGCGTCCTCGCGGTATACTCAGCCCGCGCGCGACTGGTGGTGGTCGCGTGGCAGCGAAGCGCCGTTACGGCGTGCAGCTGTCACCAACAACTTGGAAAGCGCGGAAAGATCGCGGAAGCTGGTAGGTGCGCACATTTCGTATAGTCTCACACTATGAACAATAACCGTAATATGCATAGAGAGATAAAATTGGGTGCGACCAGATATGCTTAAGGTGTGAAGGGAATGACGGAAGTTCACCACTACTTTCAGGGCAGCCATAGGTAACAAATAATTGTCTTCGTACTCACAGAGCTGGCTTAATCCGGTTTATTGTTACGACCACAGCAGGCCGAAATGAGCCGAAATAAGCATTTGGAAACACAACTGAGGGGATAATACGAAATGGATCCATCTACCAGCTGACGTTTTCTTTCCGTGCTTTTCAACACGAAACATACCCATACACTGAAGTAGACTGGGGAAGATAACAAAACAGACCTCCCCGAAACAGCATAACATTTGGCACAATAACTCAAGCTTGTGAGTAACAAAAGAAATTGCATACTTTATTGAACCCACAGGAACGACGGTAGTTTCCGGGGCCGATTTACTTTGATGCGTGGAATTCCCGGCCCGGGCAATGCGATTGGTGTGGACGCTGGCGGTATAGTTGTTAAGGTAGCCGTTGTGAAGAGATTTCTGAAATCCTGTGGCCTTCGAGTGGGAGAGCTCATCGCGATTCACCTTTGCAACTCCGTCCTTAGGTACATGTCGTCCTGAAACCTGCAGAGTAAAGGATTGAACAGATTGTTGTACCTAAATCTGTGTCGGTCAGATATTAAGACTGATATGTGCTCAGGTGTAAAGGGCCATTCTTTTAGCTCAACAAATAGAAGTCGCTTACCCACACTACTAAGCAACCTTGTTGCACCGCCTAAAGGAGTTACGTACCTCCAGCTCATCATTGTTTTTAGTGTAGGCCAAAGGCCGAACTTCGTCTTGTTAAGATTTGAGGGTGGGTTGACTGATCCGTCTGTTGCTTCACCTCAACAACCTGAGGTACATGGTTGATAGAGTCCAAAGCGCCTAGCAAATGGGCTCTAAACTCAAACGTATATTAAGTGAACTCGGACCCGAGCTCTAGACGTCGATGCCTTCATGCGGTAGCTGGATACATGGCCATCTTATTACTTTGAAATGTGCTATAGAGCATTATTGATGTTTAGCATTTTTATCCATCACTATCAGAGAATGTGAACCACGTTACTGGGTGGTAAGCCTATATTCCTGTAGCCATGTACTTGACTTCCTTAATGCATGAGCTAACGTGTTTACCAGGCACGTTCATTGTTTCTTGTTCAGCATGAAACTCTTAAACATCACCTATGCTTCACACAAACTATCTCCACCTGCTGAGACTTATGTCAGCAAACCAGTTGGATAGAAAAAGAACCCAATATCCTCATAGGTATTCAACACCAAAAATACTACCACCAGTAACTAACGTGCATGTGTTTGAAGTATGGTCTATGCTCCGAATGCCTTGCAGTTTTTTCAGAGTGAAGTCATATATGGCTAGGTTCAATTATGAACTACGGAAAGACTGAAACTAGTTGGAGGAAAATGTTTAAATTCGCCTTCATCATCTACGGAGCACCTAAGCTGCGGCTCAGGCAGGTCAGTATCTGAGCCAGGTTCCTTCGTTAGTCATAGACCGCAAGTGGACACAACACCAAGCGCAATATGATACTTAATTAAGTAGTTATGCAGCAGACCACAACCTCTCCAGTTATTCTGAGAAGCGCCACTGAAGCACGCTTCTGTCCGACAACGTAACGTTGCAAATAAACAACGCCGTAACAGGGTATCGTTTCAGTTGACTCTACTTGATCTTCATCACCATCTATATACGCATTCGGAGTGAGTTTGATCGGATGGATCCCATGTTTCAAAACGATAACGACTTCTAGATGTATTCGTACAGCTTCCGGTCATTCCGCACATGTCATGAACAATGTCCGAAGATAAAGGCATCGCAATTCCTGGCAGAAAATCATAAGCCGAATGGATAAGATAACCGAACTGAGGGCTGGTAGTTTTGTGACAGTGAGAGGTCAGCGTTGAATATGACCTTCGTACATACTTTATATGGACCGAAAAGGTCCGATGAGAAATAGGCAGGCAATCGGAGGTCCGCACAAACGAATTCCGTACAGTTAACTGAACAAGCCCCTTTCGATGGGATATTGGGGAGATAACTTCATTGAAGTCTAAGGTCCGGTATTCAACACACCTCACTGACAGTTGACATGGCTGCTTGTGTCCAGATATCAGATAACATTGGCTGATATCACTCCTTGTAACGTGGAAGGAGAAGTCAGACGTAGATGTGGAAATTTTAACTAGAGCTATTCACCAGCATCATATGTTGCCATTACTATCTTCAAATTAATGGAACAAATAGCAACCAAACCATATTACCCATCCTAGATGCTGATAGGTGATACGCGACTGTTGGCCAATCGGTAACTTGGAAAATAAGAAGCCACGCTAACCGTATCTTTTCGTACTGGCTACTCTAAGAAGTAGTTTTCCTATCTTACTGCCCCATCGATGCTAACAAAAAATACGTAGGTTACCACAGAAGAAGCACCCATCCGAAGTTCGGATAAATGAAACGCAACAACATCGAAAAGGCATGTCATATCCAGACTTGGCCAATCATTCAATACACATCCAGCAAAACGTTGGATGACTGTCTCAACTGCGCCCACTGCAACGCGCATTGCCAACGTGAATAGGGCAGAGTGTGCTTCTGGAGTCTCAACTGCTGCCGCTAAGCCGTGAATTATCTTATGGCGGTTGTCGGTTGTTATAGGGCAGTAGTTTCTTCGGAGCTTTTGTGAAAATACGTCGCTGCCAAACTCAGATAGCTACGGAACATCCTAACAAGCGGTTGACGGCCAGTTCCCCTATTGCAACTCACTAGCAGTGCGTAATCCGCCCGAACCATACGGAAATCGAACCTATGATTTTCATCGTACCACAGCGACATTAACGCTTGAGCCATGAGTGACGGCGGTATGCAGTGATGACCGGTTAATAGCTGCGATTTGAGTGGTCTCCACCTCTCAGGTATCTATCTGTATCTATACCCAGTGACTAGCCACATTTACTCTAAAATGATTGATGTGAAAATGTTATGTGCAAATGATATGCGAGCCTGATTTTCTTGAGCCTGCAGGTCGTCAGTTCCCTGGCGTATTGAAGGGGACAACTTCTAACGCAATAAACAAAACGAATGCAAATTGGCCGACTGAGTAAACGCATTAGTAGTTTGAGCATGGTCGATTAGTTTCCATTGGTAAGTATACCGGCCCATTAAAACCTGACCAATATACTGTGGAAAGAGGGCACCAGAGGGTGTGACTTGCGAGTTTGCCTACAGAGTTTCCTCTAGTGCATTCTTTTCCTTTACTACTGAATGCCCGATCACATTAGTTCCTCTATTAGTTTCATAATGCGGAAGGTACCAGATATTTTAGACTTCGTGTTAACCAACGAAGAGCATAAAATCAAAATACATTTATAGCTGATCCATTAGCCCGCTGTGTGCATGCAAGATTACTGCTCAACTAGGCCTGTTATGCACAGTATTCCGAAGGAAACGTCAAAGTTTCTCTGCGCATTACATATTACGCTGTTATGACTGTCCTAATTAATGGAACCAACCGGTTATTCCTAGCTGAACTAACTCATGATGTCGTCTGGTAGGTTTTATTAAGCACTTCAACAGGCTAGTAGCGAATGCATTAAAAAACAAGCCCCTACAATCAATACAACTAAAGCCCATCATGAGGAGTCGCACTCGAATGGACGCTGACATTACAAAGTCACACGGGGTGCAGCAAATGGAAGGCCTACATCACCCAAAGCAATCATCGCATCAGGCTGGTACATGATGAGAAATTAAAGCAATAAAAGGATTTAGTCATGAAACTTCGTACAATTCCAACTTCTCTACAGCCACATCAACAAACTCGGTAAAGTGCAGCGCAGGATTCCTGCTTTTCACACATTGTGTGGACAAGCTCAAACTGGCTGATATCGGTCAATTCTCTACGTCAGCAATACTCCCTTAGCTCCAAAAACGCGATTCTTTTTCTTATGCGGTTCACGCATATTAGACAGCCACCAGCGGACAGTCATATCTGCTTTATAGTTACGAAAGTCTGGAGGAAACTGATTGAAATGCGTGAGCGCACCTCTTTTGGTGCTGATCCTTTTCAACTAAAATAGAGAAGTTGACTGCGATGAATTCGGCTAAACCGCTCCCCCGGTTTTCCAACAGTGACTTGACGAGCTGTTGGTTCTAGTAATGTGAAGTACGGTATTTCGCTCCCATTCACAAACAGGAAATCCGTCCAAATCCGTTGCGCAATCAATCGATAAGATTCCTTCCGGTGTTTCCAGTGTCATGGAGGCTATCATAGTAGAAACAAGCATGGGTTGTTTGGAGAGATGCGAAATCATCGTACCAGAATAGCATGAATTCTGTCGGAACCAGCGTTGCAACACAAACATGCTGCTCTCTCAAGTCGAACCAAACCTGTGGACAGTAGTGTGGAAGTTGATGTAGTTTATCTAGACTTCTCAAAGGCGTTTGATTTCCTGAACCACCGCATGCACAAGCTTCTGAGCTTCAGGGTGATATAGTCCGCAGTTTGATAAGTAGCTTCCCCCTTTGACTCTATCTGAATGTGAGAGTTCACAGCGCCATCTCTGACCCCCTAGAAGTATAGTGTGGTGTCACAGGACTCAGTACTTGGTCTATGTGTATTCTTGTTTTGCATACACGAACTCGCGAGAGTGATCAAAAAAGCTCCTTATTCCTAGCTGATGATCGCTAGCTAAAGTGGGCCAGGAAAACAAAGGATGGCCACATAGCGTTACAAGGTGATTTCGACAGGGTTTTTCAGTGGATGACTACTGCGGGGAAGCTAAGTGATCCCGCGAAAATACACAATTGTGTCTTGGATTCCAATACGCTTGCTACGCCACCAGGCGTCAATTTCTAACCCTCAACGCAGCAGCCACCAATCTAGTCCAAGTCAGTGCGGAGCCGTGACAAAGTGAGCAATTGCGGTGAGTCAGCTGTACCAAACTTGTTCGGTCTTAGTTGGTCGTAAAAGAACTCCCAAGGGTCCACCTCGCCTCGCGACTACATATTTTCTCAGGGAAAGGTACATTGATTTGTTTGGTTTCGCGGGCCCACTGCGTTTGCCGAATCCGTACGTTGCTTAAGCACCGTGTAACAAGCGTCACATGCGACTTTGCGTCTAAGCCATGTCGTCCAGGGAAGTATATCATTTATTACAAAGACCCAGAAGTTGCTCCATCTCTACACGACCAAATGTTAGACATTAACTGTACGCACTGCCAAGTACACACTTGGGATCAACTTGTATAGCCTACTTCTGTCGAATGCGACCTTGAAGTAATGGTACAAGGTGAGCTTGGCTGTTCACAGTCCTAGAAAGCGTGTAAATAAGGCAAACAAACGTATTGCGAGGGCATTCGGGTGAGTAGACCCCTTACCCTGCACATAGATTGTCGTTGCCTATATTAACCCATGAATGTCCAGCAGTCTTGGCGAAGGCAGAACATTGCCACTTTCGAAATTCCACAACAAAAGGTGATCAATAATTCAAAGGGGCTGTTTCATCTTCATTACCAGCTGATGCTGAAAACGCTTGTGATCTACGGTGGACAATATCCACACA